AGGGAGCCTGATGCGGGACTCGATCCCGGGACTCCAGGATCATGACCTGAGCCGAAGGCAGTCGCCCAACCAACTGAGCCACCCAGGCGCCCCTGAATTCTTCTTGTATTTAAAGACCCTAAAAGTTTAAGTATGACTTTCTGCAAAATCTATCCTCAACGATCTTTTCACTAAACTATTTCACCTATCATTGGTATTATACAATGCACAGGTTTATAATAAATATACTGTCTTGTTCTCATTTCCTTTATTTATGTAATTTCTGTCTCTACAACAAAACCAGAAATCCTCTGAAGGACATAGGAGATATTCTAGGAAGACTGGGCTCAAATCCTCACAATGGCACCTTATTAGAGATGTATGCTCTGAAGTAAATGACTTAATTTTTGTGAGCCTGTGTTCATTCTGTATTTCCTCATCTGTTAGATGTACAGTGGAGGCGACACACACCTCATCTTACATTTCATTGAAAGCACTGTCTTAATGGTACTTTATAATGTTATCTTTTGTCGTATGTAAAACCTATCAGGGTACTAACTAAAGTGGAGGTCCAACTATAGATGATCTTGGTAAGGTATCCATTACATTATATTATATACATTACAACACATTACAGTGGTCCTGAATCAAAGCCCCTAACAATTCTAGCACTGAATTCAATTCAGGCTTGAAGAGAAGTCTAAGTTGTAAGAATAAAGGGTGAGTGAAGTAAGGAATTGATCGGAAATGTGCAAAGAGCTTCCTCTACACGGATACTCATATAGAAATGATGGGCTCCTCCCAGTGCCATTCAACGAATGAAGAGCAAAGTATACCCCTAGAGTGAGTTTCCAAACTTACTAGTCGATTCGTAAGGACTATGAACATTTTCCAAGTGGCACTGGAGCTGGAAGGGCGTGGAAAACTGGCGGTAACAGTGCTGGCAGATAGTATGACCATCTACCTCACCGTTCTGCTGATCGAGTTCTACGTGGTGTTTCATATGGTTCATGAATCTGTAGCACAGCACAAGAATACAGAAAACAAAAAAATCAGAACCCTTGGAATCCCAGAACACACATTATGTGCCCTTCCCCTCCCTTGTTTGGGACAGTCCCTTTCTGAGCCCAGAAAAGGGTTCTTGAAACTAAGAGTTCTGTGGAAAGATGTACTGGTTTCCCTTACTCCACCCAAAGTTATCTCTTATTATTACCACAATACCTTCTCCTTCTATAGTACTACTTATTGATTTAATGATAATCCTTAGCCAGACTGGAAAACAGGACTACTGCCCAAAGAGAAAAGACTAAAACATGTAAGAAAATTTCAGTCTTCTCTTGTCCAGGGTAACCTCTGAGGATCTTTAACACTTACCGAATGTTGTTTTTTAGTCTTTTGGTACAATGTGGGCATCGGAAAGATGTGGCAACCTTAGGGAAGTTTGTGAGTTGGGCCACTTTGCCACCATCCCGTCCATAGTAGAAGTCATCTACTAGCATGATGAGTTTGGTCTGGACAGCATCACCCACATTCTCATTTGGCTCTGGTACTTTGGTAGGTGGTGACAAAGCAGGAATAGGTGTAGAAGAGGGTGTGGAAGCAACAGGAGCTGTTTTCTCAGGGGATGGGGGCTTTGCAGCTGATGGGACACTGGGTTCTGAATCCAGAGATTTTCCTTTCTTCTGGTATTCCACCATTTCTGGGCAACAGTACTATAAAGGAAGATCATTGTGGTTATCCGGGAGGCTGGGATGCGCCAACTCCCCAACCTCATGAACATCTCTTGGGAATGGTTCTAGGTATTCTCATCCAGGTTTCACCCTTCAATTTTCTATAGTGTTTCTAGAATTACGGCTCTTTCTAATGGATATTTATTTATAGCCATATGCCTCTCCAAACCCGGTACCTTGTATTCCTCCCTCCTGCCTTAGATCCTTCAACCACTTACTAGCATACTTGCCTCTGAACTCCATGGCAGGAAGAAATTCCAACCTTTGTGTCCGGCCTAATACCAAAAAATGAAAAGGCTAGAAATGGGAACTGGTTAAGGACTCCTGGTTCATCCAAGGACACAATAAATAGAAAATAAACTGAGGGGTATCTAGGTGGCTCAGTCGATTAAGCATATGACTTCAGCTCAGGTCATGATCTCAGGGTCCTAGGATCGAGCCCTGCGTTGGGCTCCCCACTCAGCAGGGAGTCTGCTTGTCCCTCTTCCTGCTCATGCTCTCTCTCACTCCCTCAAATAAATAAAATCTTAAAAAAATAGGGGTGCCTGGGTGGCTGCGTTGGTTAAGTGTCTGCCGTTCGCTCAGGTCACGATCCTAGGGTCCTGGGATCGAGACCCATGTAGGGTTCCCTGCTCAGTGAGGAGCCTGCTTCTCCTTCTCCCTCTGCCATTCCCCCTACTTGTGCTCTCTGGCTCTCTCTGTCAAATAAATAAATAAATCTTAAAAAAAAAAAAAAAAGGAAAAAGAAAATAAACCAAGGCCAACTTAGTTTGAGTTGATTATCTAACAAACCTGTCCTCCTGTGCTCCTGTGTAGTTTCAAAATCAACCACAGCCAAGGAATTAAGGTCGCATATGTTCCAATCTACTTGAGAGTCTTTAAACATATCCTTCTATATTCCAAAGTTTGAAACTCTTCTAAAACAGGCCAAAAGGGAGCATAACCCTTTAAGAAACTTCTAAGTCATTTCAGAGTCCCTGCTTCACAAGCTCCTAATCCTAGAGGAGGTATGCAGTGGTAGCCACTGAAGCTGGATCCCCATCACAACTGGTATCACTTACACACATGTGACCTCTCAAAGCTTCAGTAACACGGAATTGAGCATTACACCGTGGACATATTTTCCGTCCACCATCCTGGAGGTCGAACACTGGGATAGAAGAAGAGGTCACTGGAAGAAGTGAGAAGCATTGATACGATTAATGAGATGATACTGGAAACAGATTACTGGCCCTTTGAAGAAAAGGTTAAGCACTCCCTAAAGGGCGTATTAAGGTTGATACACAAGCATGAGTGATCACTATGAGGACCATTCTCTTCACCATTCTTTTAACTCTAGGCCAGGGGTCAGCATATCACAGCTCCTAGACAAAATCCAGCCAGATGCTAACTTCTGTTTGGCCCATGAGCTAGGAACGGATTTTACTTTTCTGTCGTTATACAACTTTTTCTTTAATTCAGGTAACATATACATGAAGTTTACCTCTTAACCAATTTGAAGTGTACAGTTAAGTACATTTGCACTGTTGTACAGGCAATCTCCAGAACTTTTTGCATCTTGTAAATCTGAAACTCTGTACCCATTTAACAATTCCCCATTCCTCCCTCCTCTTCGTCCCTGGCAACCCCCAATCTACTTTCCGTCTCTGTGAATTTGACTCCTCTAGGTACCTCATATTAAGTGTAATCACACAATATTTATCCTCTTGTGACTTAGTTCAGTACTCAGCAGAATGTCCCTCAGAGTTCATGAATATTGCAGCATGTGTCAGAATCTCCTTCCTTGAACAATATGCTACTATATGTATATATCATATTTTGTTTATTTATTCATCGGTTGATGCTCATTTGGACTGCCTCCACCTTTTGGCTATGGTGAATAATGCTGCTATGAACATGGGTGTACAAATATCTGCTTGAGTACCTGCTTTCAATTCTTTTGGGTCATACCCCAGAAGCAGAACCGCTGAGTCAGATGGTAATTTTATATTTCACTTTTTGAAAGACCATCATACCAATTTACACTTCCACCAGCAATGCACAGTCCAATACCTACACATCCTCACCAATACTTGTTATTTTGTTTTTTGGAGAAGAGCCATCCTGATGGGTGTGAAGTGGTATCTCAACATGGTTCTGATTTGCATTTCTCTAATCATTAGTGATGGTGAGCATTTTTTCATGTGCTTAACAGCCATTTGTATATCTTGTTTGGAGAAAGGTCTATTCAACTCCTTTGCCCAGTGTTTAACTGGGTTGTTTTTTTGTTGTTGAGTTGTGCTTATATTCTAGATGTTAACCCTTTATCAGATATATGATTTGCAAATATTTTTTCCCATTCACTGGGTTGCTTTTTCACTCTGTTCACAGTGTCCCCTTTGATATCCTAAAAGTTTAAAATTTGATATAATCTCATTTATCTATTATTCTTATATCTGCTATTATATTTTTCTTTTGTTGTCCATGCTTTTGGTGTCATATGTAAGAAATCATTGCCAAATCCAATGTCATGAAGCTTTCCCCCTATGTTATCTTCTCTTACAGTTTTAGCTTTTATGTTTAGGTCTTTGGTTCACATAGTTAATTTTTATATATGGTGTTTGGGTCCAACTTCATTGGATGTGGATGTCTGATGTTTCCAATACCATTTGTTAAATGTTTTTACACTTTTTAAATGGTTGAAATGAAAACAAAAGAAGATATTCTGACACATGAAAATTACATATAATTCAGAGTCCACAAACAGTTTTAGTGGAGCAAGGTCATGCTCATTTGTTTGTATACTGTCTGTGGCTGCTTTTGTACCACAATGGCAGAGCTGAGTAGCTGTGGCAGAGACCATATTTAGTGCATAAAGCCTAAAATACTATCTGGTCCTTTAGAGAAAAAGGTTGCCGACCTCTGCACCATTGAAAACCCTTATGCTCATATCCTGTCTACACCTGAAAACCTCTCTACCAAATCCCAACTTTAAAACCTTGTGCAGAAATCCACCTCCCTGTGAAGCTTTTTTTTAAAATTATTATTAACCCACCCAACTGGTCCATTTCACTCATCTCTACAGCACAAGAAACAGAGAATTATCTCCTTATAGCTGATTTAGTTATGCTTTTCACAGTGGCTATCCCCTTTCCTACACTAAAGTTTCATGTAACAACAGACTGTGGCAACTATATTCTATGTCTCTACTTCAAAGCATAGAGTTCTAATATAACAAATACTTTATTAATGTTTCTGAATGACTGGATACTCTGTCTTTCAGGTTACTGTACCTTTCATAGAAGACTCAGGTCCGCTGGTTCTCTGGGAGCCATGGGCAGAACTGTTGTTGGATACCACCACTGGCCCAGGACTCTGGCCCAGTGAAGGGATGGTGTTAAGGGTATTCACCAGTTTGGCTACTTCATTGCTATTTTCACCTGTAACCCCAGGTCGCTTCACAGTGACAAAGCTGGCAATGCTCACTGCAGGTGGAGAGGGGAAGGAGGGAGCTATGTTGGCCAAGTGATAATCATCTGTTCTCCACCCACTGCCCCGCCCAGCACTGCCATCTCCACTTCCCAGGGCTCACCTAGCTTGGGATTGGGGGTCTGGCTGGATTGGCCTGGAGGCTGAGCAGCTAGCTGCCCCAGTGAGGTCGGCTGTGTGGCAGTGGGAGTGGTGGAGGTGCTGGGTGTGGACTTGGTCTGCTGGGACTGGGACTGCGGGACGGTGCTTCGAATGGTCAGAGTAGCTGGGATGACAGTGGTGAAGGTGTTGGTGGTGGGCCGCACAGGCATTGTGGAGCCTGGCCTCACTGGGGTCATCTGAGAGAACACTTGTGGGACTCCAACTGTCGGCTTAACAAACTGGGTACCTGGGGCTTCAAAAGAGAGACAAAGAAAAGTACCAAAGCTTGGTCAATGAGCTCACCTCTAATACATTCCACCTGTCTTTACTGAAAATACTGGAATAAGAAAAGATTATTTCCCCAAAGTGTTTGGTGGCCATCAGAGGCTAACAAGAGTAGCATAGACTCTAATGTCTAAGACAATACATATCTAAGGTGATAAAAGATCCTAAGGAATCAGCCCTATTAAACTGAAGAAAGAAGATTCCTATCAACTCCTCCCAAAACACCTTACCACACTGCCTTTTTAATCCCAAGAACATAATGAGGAGTAGCTTGACCTCAGTACTAGGAAGAGCGAGGATGAGTACAGAGTAGGAGGCAGTGTGCGTATGTATAGGCCAGAGGGCAGCTGTAGTCCTAAGAAAGCAATCTTTCTTTCTCAGGATACTAAAGGAGTCTTCCATTCTTTCATATGAACTCAAACAGAAGATGGACTATGCCATTCTACTAGGATCCCAGAGGTGAATCTCCTGGCTCAGCTGTAAACAATTCCACTGACAAATATATAAGAAATACCAGAACTAGGTAAGTTAAATTCATGAGACTTTCATGAGAAAGGCCAAAAGCACTGTGTGGGCTCTGAGAACAACAAAAACTTAGGAAGACAAGCTCATGGAGGCACCCATACATCAACTAAATTAGGCTATTTTTTGGCCTGAGTTGTAGTAAACTTACAGACACTAAGTAAAGAACTGTGGGGAAAATTACGAGATTTTAAAAAATTATTTTCAATTTAGTTTCTTAAAAAAAATACTAACTAGTCATTGGCAAATTTATCATCAAAGGGTAGGTCATTCGTTTAATTTATATCCAAGATCTATGCTATGAAATTAAAGCAAAATAAAGTTTATAATCCCACCATGTAAGTGAGTAGACTTGTAAGAAATACGGAATTTGGGAGTTTGCAATAATATTCCTTCAGGATAACAAACACTAAAACACCAGAAACAGAAAAATGACTAAACCCTGTTTGAAGGGTGGTAAAAAGTTGAAAAGAAAAATAAATAAAAACCACCACCCTGGCCAAAGGTTAGAAACAGTTTTTTAAAAATTGGGCTTAAATCAATATGATCTTTATATTTTTAGATTTTCCTTAAACACATTTTTTAAATGACCAAGAATATTTTGAGACAAGAAAAACAAATCTTCTGGATGCCAGTTTATTTAGAATGGGTAGACATTTTTCCTTACCTGGGACTAGTGTTATTGGTCTAACCGTTTGGCCTTGCTGTACGTTCAGCACAATCCCAACCTGATTCATTGCATTTTGTACAGGCCGGACATTTCTTACAGGAAATCCCTGCATTAAAAGCAAAATGATCTTTAACATGGAGATCAGCTAACACTAAGCAGAGATTACAATAAGACTACATCCTAAAAAATTCCCACACTCTTACCTAGTGGTTCTTTTTCTAGAGGTAGAGCTTTTAAATGACTGAGATGGAGAAATCTAGGAATTTTGGCAAACTTTTGAGTGACAAAATATCAAAACTGAAGAAGCTTTAGTACATATGAGCAAAAATGAAAACCTACTTTCCTGTCTTAAAAGAACCTCAGCTTAAAAAATACCTCATTCACAAACTGGCCCCTAAACAGATAAAGGCATAGAAGAAGGGAAAAAAAAGACACTAAGAGTATTCACTGGAGTGATTCAACACAAAACAACTGTTAAGAAATTGTTCCCAAAGTCCACTTCAAAGGCCATAAACCTCTGGCAAATTTTTAAGAGAAGAATTTATAACTCAGGAAGCCACAGGCAGAGAAACACTTGCCTTTATGTTCCACATTCAGCATTAGGCTTTCAACTTCGAGTCACATTATATGTCAAATAAGTCATCTATCTTCCTCCTCCTCTTCCAAAGTTCTCCCTGCACTTTACCAATTTCATACACAGATTTCAAGAGTCAACTAACTCACCCCATTTTAAGAAAAAACAGCCCAAGCAAAGGGCAGGAAGTGTTAAGGGCCAAGTGTGAAGGTTTCCTAATCTAAGCTTTCCCACTAATTTCTGCCCAGATCTTAATCAAAATACTTAATAGCCCTCTAAAGGATAGGAAGAGGAAATTACCCAGATATGTTATGTTTGGCTTTCTATAAAAATCAGTATTAAATTAAAAAACCGCAAATGAGAAAGCCAGGTCAAAAGACAGGACTTAGAGTTCTAAGTTAGAGCCTCCAAAGGTTCACAGTCTTTCTCTCCTTCCCTATCCAGCCCCAGAATTCAGAGTCCTACTCACCTGTGTAGTGATGAATATTGGTTGTGAGGCCACAGGAGAACTAGTCACATGATTGGCATTCTGCATGACCTGGACAGGCCTCAACACTGGTTGAGTAACCATTGTGCCCAGACCTGGGGTTGGATTCTGGGTTAGGATGAGTGGCTGTCCACCTTGTTGGACCAAAGAATTGCCAGCTGAAGAGTAAAAGGAAGACAGAAAAAAAAAAAGTAACAAAAAACAAACCCACATTTTTTAAGAAACATTATAGTCTCAGATAAGAAATGGTATCCCAGATATCAAAATATCCAGGATTGTCAAACTCACCTTAGGTTTAATGTCACCAAACTCACCAAAAATTTAAGCTTTACCCAAATCTGCCACAAACAGAAAAACTGTAGATAGGGAAGGTTCACTAACATCTCCCCCATATACATCTTAACCAGGGATGTCTTAATGTAGTAAAACTTCTACATGGCTATCATTTTAACTCTGACAGTATTAATATATAATTTAACATAATCTCTCCACACCAAATTAGCAAACAAAGTAACATATAATTTCTTTTTCCATATTTTCACTAAGTAAAACTTATTTTGTCTGAATATAATTTGTTGTTAGCTAATTCACTTTTAATCTTTTTAAAAGCGGCATATTCATCAACAAACATTAATTCAGCAAGCACACAGAATCTTAAGAATGGCACCTCTTCCTAGTGAGTCAAAGCTCAGAAATCCAACAGATTCTCTAACAACCACTGTCTTTTACAGGTATGGGAACACAGAGGTGGACAGGCTAACTTTTCTTGCTCTTTTTGACATGAGAACTGATAAAGACTTGGTCAAAAACTAACCAACATCCAGTAAAAATGGTATGACTTCAGAAGATAATGGTTCATTCATAAATAAATATTAATAAATGGACTATTACGGAACCTTTTATTATTTTATATTTATTATAATATATAAGTATATATAAAATATATATAAATATATTTTATATTATTTTATAATTATTGAATAATTATACCATAATTATTGAACCACTTTAGGTTCTTCTCATTTGTGAGAAAAGTAATTTTATAAATGTTTTAAAGTCTATTTACATTTGGCAAAAAAGTCATTAATACTGTTTCATATTTATTTATTTTTAAGATTTTATTTATTTATTTTGACAGAGAGAGAGAGACAGCGAGAGAGGGAACACAAGCAGGGGGAGTGGAAGAGGGAGCAGGGAGCCCAATGTGGGGCTCGATCTCAGGACCCTGGGATCAGAACCTGAGCTGAAGGCAGACGCTTAACGACAGAGCCACCCAGGCGCTCCCTAAGTTTCCTATTTATAGCGAATACTCCAAAACCAGACAGAAAATTTGAGCATCAATATACCTAAATCAGAGATTCAAGTAAGATATTGCCTCAACCTTTTACCTCAACTAACCAGAGTGAGATGGGTTCCTATGAGCTGTATGTCCTACTTTGACAGAGTCACTGCAGTTAGCTACAAAGCTAGACCACTGGAGTGGGTACATAGGTGGCTATTAATGGGCCAACAATGGTTTGTCCCAATTTTTTCCAGGAAATGAGTGCCTATCAGTGGACTAGACCTCATAGTTAGTTACTAGGCCAACTGACTAGTGATTATGAGGTTGACACAGATAAAAAATTACAAGTTCTATCTGTGCTAATTATACTGGCAATTTACTATTTTAATTTAAATGTTTTATTATGGAGAAGTTCAAATACATATAAAAAGAGCATACCATAATGAAACCCCATGTACCCATCGCTCAGCTACAACAATTATTAACTATGGCCAATTTTGGTTTTTTTTGTACTTCCCATCCACATTCTACGAATCTAGTAACTCCAATGAATTCTAATAATTCTAATGAATTATTTTAAATGATTTCTACATTTTTTTTTTTTTAAGATTTCATCCATTTACTTGAGAGAGAGAGCAGAAGTAGCACAAGCAGGGGGAGCAGCAGAGGGAGAAGGGGAAGCAGACACCCCGCCAAGCAGGTAGCCCAACGTGGGGCTCGATTCCAGGACCCTGGGATCATGACCCAAGCCGAAGGCAGACACCCACCCAACTGAGCCACCCAGGTGCCCCTGATTTCTGCATTCTTACTAAATCTTTCCTTAGAGAAATTCTGACAATTCATGGGTTTTACAAAGTTCTACTTCCAGGGAATGAGAGGCAATCAGAATCCTTAGGCTTGGGTGCCTGGGTGGCTCAGTTGGTTAAGCGTCTGCCTAGAGCTCGGGTCATGATCCCGGGGTCCTGGGATCGAGTCCCACATCGGGCTCCCTGCTCAGCGGGGAGTCTGCTTCTCCCTCTGACCCTCCCCCCTCTCGTGCTCTCTCTCTCTCTCTGAAATGGATAAATAAAATCTTAAAAAAAAAAACAAGAATCCTTAGGCTTAAAAAGCCTATAAAACAATTAACCAACTGGGGCGCCTGGGTGGCTCAGTTGTTAAGTGTCTGCCTTTGGCTCAGGTCATGATCCCAGGGTCCTGGGATCAAGCCCGCATTGGGCCTGCTCAGCAGCAAGTCTTGCTTCTCCTTCTCCCACTCCCCCCTGCTTGTGTTCCCTCTCTTGCTGTGTCTCTCTCTGTCAAATAAATAAATAAAATCTTAAAAA